ACAGTGTTTCGGCTACACAGCCACAGCGGACTTCACAGGCGAAATCAGTGTCGCCTTCGTTTTCTAGAGTGTCGACTGATGCCGAACGGCCTAGAGAGCGAGCCTTGTCAGCAGAACGGCCAGTCATGCCTTCGCCTAAGCCCACACCGATTGAAACCAGGCGCCATTCCGATGTCGTCATGGCAGAGGCGTCGCCTCAAATGGTCAAGCCGCCAATGTCTGCTGCATCATCTGCGCCGGAAGCTTTACAAGACTCTGACGACGACTTGGATCTCGACGAAGAGGATTTTGCTGAGTCGGAAGCGAAGTACAACCGGGAGCGGGCTCGTCTGGAGGCCAAGCGTGTGGATCTGAGTGCTTCACACTTGCGCGCCCTGACGCCTTTGCAAGAAATTGCTCTACTGTCCTGCCTAACCGTCGACCATCTTCCACAAGCACGGCCTGAACCAGCATCTGTAGAAGAGATGGGTACACCTTTGCCTCAAGAAGAATCAGTTCCATTGTCTGCCAAGACAGTGCCTGACATGCTGTCAGCTCCTCAGCCGCCACCAGACAGTACTACAGCAGATCTACCAACACCTAGAGCTGAAGACTCTGAAGACGTCGAAATGGAAGACAAGGAAGAGGTTGAAGAAAGATCAACAGCACCTGCTACGATGGCACTACGCCTTCGCCGGGAGACTTCTGCTGATCAAGAGACTCTTCCTGACCTGAGTTCGCTACCCTATCTTGGTTCTGGCCCTCCCACACCTCTATCCGACATTGGACAAGATCATCCTGCCTTACCAGACTCTGTCATGGACGTTATTCGGAGCAAGTTGCGCAAGAGCATTGAGCCAGAAATGAGCATTGACCAGACCCTTCGACGATATGCTGCTGTGTACAAAGAGTGGCGACTGCATATTCGGCCATGGGATGAAGAGCGCGAGCAGGATGAAAATGACAGGCAGCCATCTGCGGAGCCATTGCTAAAGGCCGTCACCCCCGATGCGCAAAACGCTGCCATGACTGGAATACTTGATGGATCTCTAGCACCTACAGGCCGAAGAAACCATGCGAGCCGATGGGCTACTGAGCTGGATCTTGAGGCTGTTATCAAGGAGTCCTTGAAGACTGCTGAGGAAGAGAAGCTCGGGAAAAGAGACAAGGAACCGAGAAAGGCCATGGCTGACCCTGAAAAAGAAGCAGACGTACCCCTGGAGTTGACCGAGGCTGAGGCCCAAAGGCGCAGATTCATCGATTACAACTTCCAGCGCGAACCCGGCCAGGGCATCTTTGTGTTCCATTACGAGCCACCGGAGGATGACTTCACACCTGAAGAGCATCGAGTGATGGTGTACAACTACAAGGACCAATATGCCAAGAAATGGGGCAAGCTGGCTGAGGTCTTGTACAAGGAAGTTGGAACTGAGCGTACCTACAAAGACTGTATCAATCACTACTATGCGACCAAGTGGGGCAGAGAGTACAAAGGCAAACTGCGGAAACCGCGTGTTTCTAGGAAACGTGGTGGAGGCGTCAGTCGGGGCCGTAGTGCTATTGCCAACATGGATCGAACTGAAGTGCAAGGCGAGGACGGACAACCCTTGCCCGTCACTGAAACTGGGCGACCCAGGCGCTCGGCTGCACCAACATTTGGTCCCACGGAGACAGACTTCGATCCAACTTCCGGAAATGTCACTCCAGCCCGCGCACGCAGGCAGACTGACACCGACGGCTCGCAAGAGAAGGCTGGAAGGCGAGGGAAGCCCTCAAAGGAAAAGCTTGGTCGCAAGCCAAAGAACATGCCACTCGCTGCGGCCCCCGTGGGCTCCGTTGTCAAACCCGATCGGAAAGAAAAGGCTTTTGGTGTCAAGATGGAGGATGATGCAAGTAAGCGACCATTGGATGAGATGCCCGTGCCCATGCACGTTGTACCCATGGAGGAGCAGGTAGTCATGTCCAGTGATTTGCAGCAACTCCCTGGTATGGCGGGCAACCTTATGGAGCGTCCCAAGACTCAGCCTGGTGCGAGACCTGGTCCATCAAGCTATTGGTCGGTTTCAGAGTTACAGGACTTCGACAAGAACGTTGCACACTTTGGCACAGACTGGATTGCAATCGCGAATCATATGGGCACCAAGACGCACACTATGATAAAGAACCAATACCTCCGCCTTGTTGAGAGCGGTAAACTGGACTTGGAACAAGTCGCAAAAGAGGCAGATGCACGAAGGGATCGCGGCGAAGATCTTGGACCACCACCTACGCCAACTCCGGCACCCAAAAGACGATATGAGAGTACACAAGCGGCACCGGTCCGCCCCATTGCGCCTACGCCTGAACACGCTTCTCCTCCTCCAAATGCGCTTGCGCTACCCAAGGCATCCCCACCGCATCCCAATCCATCTTCGAGGTTTCCCAGTATTGCCCAAGGACCCATGCAGAGCAAGCCACTGGTACATAATTCGGGATTTCCTGCCCTACACGAGACTAGCCTTGCGTCTGTACCTTCAATACCACCACAGCAATCACCACCCGCTCCACCCCAACGTGCCCAGCCACAGCAACAGCCGCCACAGCAGCCGCAACAGCAACAGCAGCAGCAGCAGCAGCAGCAACAACAACAACAACAACAACAACAACAACAACAACAACAACAACAACAGCAGCAGCAGCAGCAAGCACAGCAAGCACAACACCACCATCACCACCAGCATTCCATGTCGCAGCAAAAGGCACAATTGCAGGGGCCCCGAGCAGGGTATTTCTCAGATGACCTGCCACCGCGTTTTGAGAGCCGGCCACCTTCGCAACCATCAGGTAGCCAGCAGCCGCATCGACCGTTACAGCAGCATGGCACTCCTCAGCCACGCGTCCAAGAGCAGCATCATTCACCTGTCTACCGCAGCCTTCATTACCAGGAACGAGATACTGTTGGCAGATCTGAGCACCCACAAGAACAGGAGATTCAACGCAGGATCCATGAGCAACATGTTCGCCGGATATCCACAGAGGTGCCACAGCACAGGCCTTTTGCTCCCAGTGGTGCACCACCGATTATGGCGCCAGTACGTTCAAGCTCGGTCTTGAGATCCCCGGAGCACCGTCCCTTGCCATACTCGCACTCCCGGCATCCGTCGCAAGTCCAGTCGCTCAACCAAACCACTGCCGAAGTATTCTCTCCAGGATCCAACGCCAGTCATATCGGGCAACAGCTGCCGCCTCGCTCGACAATCCTTACGCCACCTGTTAAAGAAGAGCCTAGGAACATGACACCTTCTGCAATCCCTCCAGCTCAGCCTCAACCAATGCTCCATTCGCAACTGCAGCACCCGCAACGCAATCAACCACCTATGCACAACACTCCACCACCCGTTGCACACAAGCCCGCTCCTGAACCACGCAAGTCGAATCTCATGTCTCTACTAAACGACACCGATCCAGAAGAGCCTAGACGTAAGAAGCCGAGCGAGCAAGGTCCGCCATCGCACAGCTCTACCCCTCAACAGTCAGCGCCCGTCGCTCCTCCTCCTCCGACAACCCAGAGCTATTCCTCATCAAGGCGCCCACTATACGAAGACCCAATTGCCGTACAACCTCCTTACAGCCGTTCATCGTATTCTCAGCAATCCTCGCTTCCCGCCGCGGCATCGAATAGACCCATCGACCTTACAGATGATAAGCCGTCAGCAAGTAGACCAAGCTTGCGTGAAAGCTGGACAACTCGACAACCATATCACCCAGGGATGAGCCAGACTCCGCAGCTAACTTCTGTGCCGTCCTCACAGTCTGGGCTATCTCAAGCACCTCCTGCCAACGAGAGAATGTTCAATCATCGGTCTGTCTTCGCTCAGCACAACACCCCGCGTCAAAATGCAACCCCACCTCCTCTTGCTGGATACGGCAGTTCGTCAAATCCGCATTCACGCGCTTCGAGTATAAGCGGACCGCCAGGATCAATGTCTCGACATGCTATGCCTGGCACAAGCGCAGCACAGCATGTGCAGGCAATGAACACGTCTGCGCAATCTGCGCAAATTCTGCAACCCAACCCGTACGCTCAGGTGGATCCACCAGGCAATGGCGGACCCCCATCTGGCCCAATGGGTATGCGTCCCAGCCCACGTTTGCAGGCAAATCACGCTGTACAGCAGAGGGAGCCAGCTGGACGCAACGAGCATTCGCAGGCTTCGAATGCAAATATGTCTTATTCCAACCCACAAACGCCGAATGAACATCATGGACAGCATCCTTTCCAGGGGCTGAACAGACTGACAGAACCGTATCGCCCTCGCGATCCTCGGGACGCTCACGAAATGGACCATCGACAACTATCAGATCGCGACACTAGCCGTGAGCTCTCCCAAAGAGCTGATTACTTGCGCGAACAACATTCCAGCTCCGCAATGCGTTCGACGGGTCCGCCAATGCATGAAGATTTGCGCTATCAATCTCAAGATCGAGGCTATCTTGGTCAGAGGTCTCAGACCCAAACTCCACTTTCCAGGTCTGAGCATAGCCAGCCCCCACCTCTGCAACACCCACCTCACTCGTCACTCGGAGTGGCAAATCACTCGTTATACGGCCAACGCCCTCCCCCCGAAGAGCCACCCCACCATTTCATGCGCAACCCTCGGGACCGCAGCATGACTGAGCGTCTCCGAGAAGAGCAAGCACAGGCCCAGGCCCAGCACCACGCAGCAATGCAAACCCGCGACGAACACATGCGACGAGAAGCCGAGCGAGACATGCGCGAACGCGACATGAGAGAGCGCGATATGCGCGAACGTGAAGCCCGTGACGTGCACCACCACCGAGACAGCTTTATCAGAGCTAGTCATGCCAGAGGTGTGCCTCCCCCTCCGCCAGCTGGTGCTGGTTCGGCTCCCGGATCACTGCCTGATCAGCGACTACCTCCTACGGGTGATTGGGTCACGGGTGTGCCTAGACACCCTGGAGATCGCGGGCCGTGGCAGAGGTAACAGATGAATGAATTGATATGAGGGATGCGTGTGTGTTCATGTCTCGCCCTTTTTTTTCCTTCTTCTTCTTCCTCTTCTTCTTCCTCTTCTTCTTTCTTCAAAGCGGGAGGATGACAACTTGTTGTTTTGTTTTGTTTTGGTTCTAGTTGGAGAAAGCGATGTTCGACGTTTTTTTACTTCCGTGTGTGTATCTGTCTGTTCTTTATCTACACTTACTACCATGGATATATTCATCTTCGTTCTCGTTCTGTTTTCTCATTCGTCCCCGTTTCTTCTTTCCTTTTCATATGTCGAAACTTTGTAGATGAACAATATTTATTTATTCTTTTATTTACATCACACACAAAACAATATATTAACTGTACTTTTGTTTTTTTTAAGTTATGTTTTTTTCTGAGCGTGCGAAAGATTATACGAAAGGGGTGGTGGTTTTGATGTGGGAAAGATTTTTTTTGGGTTTCGGGGTTTGAGCGAAGAAATACGATGGTCATATAGTTTGATATAGCAATAGAAAGTCTCTTTCACACACACACACACACACACACATTGAAAAACTCTTTATTTGAATTTTTTTATCCTCCTCTCTTTCTTTCTCTATAGCCAAACATGTTTGCCTAGTAGTTGTATATGGCCAATGTCTAACTTTTTATCTGCCCTTGGTACAACAAAATCCGTCTGTGTCCTAATCCTAATCGTACAAGTGAAGTAGAAAAAAAAGCATTCTCTCAATGGGAAAAATAACATGGAGTTCTTTTTGATACAAAGGATGATGGTGAGGAACGCAGCGTTCTACTCTTTCTCTACATGCCATGGGTATGGAGCCAACATCCGTTTTTTTTAATGAAAGGATGTGGGGAGGAAACGGCGGGAGATGGTCTTGCAGGTTGCTGGAAACTGCGGGAAATGGATGACCAGATTTGGTTATTTGTGGGGTATTTTGTGGGTTCTTTCACTCCTGCTGCGACATGTGTGTTGGGAAGTTGTAGTCTGTGTAGTCGATGTGGACGAATGCACGGTCGACGTAGGGTACGCTTTCTGTAGACTTTGTTAAAAACTTATTCACATATCGTGGTACAGGATAGGGGGATAAGCTTACCAAGAACGTACTGCAGACTCTCACCCAGATCGTGGCTATCCCTCAGACTGAGATTCTCATCAACGACAATGTCAACCTCGACGTTCAGCTTGTCACCGGCATGGTATGCCTGGAGACCCTGGATTCGCTTGATGCTCTTAGCAAAGCGCATAGTCATGTAGAGCAGGATGTTCCTCTCGTCGGCAGTCGCGCTCGCACCGGTCAAGTTACGAACGTGCTCTGCGGATGTGGCACCCCAGTTGATAATGACATAGGCAGAGAGCAAGATACCGCCGAGAGCATCGAGCCACCAGATCTTGGCAAAGTAACCAACAAGCGGGAAGAAGATGGAAAAGGTGTTGAAGACGACGTCGGTCATGGCGTCTTGGGCCAAGGCTTGTACACTGGAGTTGCGGATCAAGCGGCACCAGAGCCAGCAGAGACCCTTGATTACGACGGTAGAGGCCATGATAGCAACAGCAGGAACACCCAGTTCGACAATCGTGTGGTCCTTGCCGGTAAGCCGTGAGATACCCTCAATACCGACCTGAAAGAAGGAAGTCATCATGATAACGGAGAAGATCAAAACACCAATGGGCTCGAGTCGCCTGCGGCCAACAGGGTATGCGTAGCGATCTTGACGTGCAATCATCCAGGAAGTGAACCACACGATGGCGGTAGAGAGAAAGTCAAGCGCGGCGTCGACTAAACTGGCGACGACGGAAAGCGAAGATGTCATGATTGTGACGACAATCTTCAAAATCAGCAAAGCCGTGTTTGCGCTAAGATTGACGTAGAGGGCCAGTTTGACAATGGGACTTTCGGTGTCTTCATCTTCTTCTGGTACCCAGTCCATGAGCTTCGACTTGGCTGCTTCAAGGTCGTCCTCGTCGTGAATAGCATTTTCATTTGCCAGCAGCGGCGTGTTCTCGTCGATCTCGGGGACTTTGTACAGGTTCTTTGGTGTACGCTTGACCATGGGCTTCAGCGCGCCGTTGCCATTGCCATTGAGACTGCCCGATGAGCCAGTTCTACCCCCACTGGAGAGCCCAGGAGTGGTTGTACCAGAGTTGTGGCCATCCAGGGCTGGCGTCCCTGTAGATGAGGATTCCTCTGTAATTGTGGTAGGGATCTTGACCGCGCCCGATTCTAGGTTTGTGTACTCCTGAATGAGGTTGTGCGGTAGCGAGGAGTCGAGAAGACGGTCAATGTACATGTAGTTTTGGATAAGCTGGTTGTTGCGCTCGTAGTATTCGCGGATTGGCTTCTTCATGCCCTTGAGGTCTTCTTCATGCTTGTAGTATTTTTCCCACTTGTACCGGGGATTGGAGTTTCCAATTAGTCGTTGGCTTCGCATCTGGGGTGTGTTGAGAATGTGTGCACCGATGCTACTCCTCCGGTCCGAATCGCGGTCATACGCCATCATAAGTCCATGTCTGTATGCTTCCATATCCTCGTCCTCTGTGTCGCTGCCGCGACGCTCGTTGCTGCGTATGGTTGACGGCCGGCGCGAGCTGTGTAGTAGCGAGGGCAGGTGGTGACCGCGTGTAGTAATGGCAGAGGCCTCATTCTGAGGAGAGAAGAGCTTCGAGTTGGTAAGACGGGGCACACTTGACGTGCGAGGGATTGTCGCCGTAGAGGGCGACGGGGGCGGTGGTGTGGAAGGATAGTCAGTCATGGCGGCAATGGGGATGAAGAAAGTGCGCAGACGCGACGATTTGGGTTCAGTTTGGATGGAAGAAATGCCCAATGTCTTGAGATGAGATTTGTGCGCGTCAACGCGGCAGAAGCAAGACAGGCGTGGGGGTGAGGTGGAGGTGGTTATCGCACTGGCGCAGGGCAACTGCGAGGATGATTGGGATCAGCGGAGACGCTGGATGGCAGTAATATGTAGGAAAATGCGCGGATTAGTCCACCACAGCGCAGATGCAGAGCGATATGCAGGCGGAGTGATGTTGCAGCGGAATCGTTCAGGCCTGAGGTGCAGAGGGCACCGGGAACCGCAATACGGCCGTGGACGCGGCAGAATGCGACGAGGAGGTTCGCCGAAACAAGAGGGTCTTTCATCCAGGGCGGGATCGCCATGGCCTCGCTCCGCTAACTCCTGCAGATGCGCCCACTTTAGCTGTGGCCAGAGCTCGCGCTGCTGAATCTGGGGTGTACCAGCCGAGATCGCCATTGGTTTCCGACAAAAGATTCGTCGCATGTGTTTCACGCAAGCCCGTCTGGCTGCTCGCGAACAAAAAATCTCACCTATGCTTCTTGGCGTTATAGGTTGGTGGACACAGCTCTGCTCGGTCGCTATACGCCAGGTCCACTCTGACCGGACTAATGTACAGCTGCATACCCTGAAGTCCGCACCTTCGAGGTTTCACGCTCCCCCCCCAACCACCTTGGCCAGGCATAGTGCAGGCGCTATATGAAACAGGGTCTTGAGATGACAGGCAATGTGCGCCATACCTACCTTTCCCTGTTCTTATTCCCCGATTCTCTTCTCCGTGTCCTGAGTCCGCTCACCTCTGTCCCATACTCCCCCACCGATCCCTCATAATACAGAACAGCCGTTCCAGACCCACCAATTACCAATTCCATGTCCATGTCGCCTCAAACGATTGTGGCAAATTATTGGCCGATGGCTCAACGGATGCCCAGCCGGACTGCTCAGTCCATTTGAAAGCCTGACTCGTTAAGACATGTTGTTTACATGCGATGATAGATACATAAAGTTATATGTTATAAGCTGTCACAAAAGTATGCTTCTTGTTAAGCGAGTCTTCTAAAAAGCTTGGCAATGAGACTATTTAATGAGCTGGCCGATCTCAGGATAGGATATGGCATCGAGGTGAGAATTTTTCGTTGTTGACGGTATATGATGGAATCGGTCGAGATGGTCTTCTTTTTTTGGGAGATGAATCTTATTCGCATGCTGTGAACCAGTAGAGGTTTTCGTGATATTGAATGTGAGTTGTCGAACAGAGAGGTGAACCTTGCTATGGCTACGATTCTCAGATTATGCACACTCCGATTATACAAGAAAAGGGGAAGATTGTTGATGGTATACAAGTCATTTCATTCGTCCTGTTCCGTAGTTAGACAATCCGCTCGACTGCTTGTGAAGAAACATAGCGATCGTGAGCGAAAGGGATGGTTCTACGCACAGACACGCCATGAGGCATCACGACGTCGTGACGCTACATTTCTAAACCGAGGACATGTGCAGTGCACAACGCAATGCCGTGTAGGAGTGTAAGAAGGTTGAGGTGGGGGCTTGGGGCATCCGCACTAGCACCACCAAAGCTCCCAATGCGGTCTAGCACTTCTGACTGCTTGGCAGCGCACCATGGAGCTCGGCTAACAGCCTGAAATTCGCTTTTCCACGACAACGACAACTTCTTCGACATCCGACTACTCACAACAAGCAGTCAAGATGCCGGTATGATATCATCTCCTACGGTCATGCCGCCATGTAGGAACGCCTATTGACGATTTTTGCAGAGCCAAAAGTCATTCCGCACCAAGCAGAAGCTTGCCAAAGCGCAGAAGCAGAACCGCCCCATCCCTCAGTGGATTCGCCTGAGGACCGGCAACACCATCAGGTATGACTTACTCGCAGCATTCTCGGGGACTCTTGTGTCTCTCAGAACTGCATGCAATGCCACAAGACAGACTGGTCATGACCGTGAGAACTCGGACTGACATTGCACCCCCAAGGTACAACGCCAAGCGACGACACTGGCGCAAGACCCGTCTCGGTATCTAAGCGGATCGCCTCCTTCAAGCCATCCCTCACTCGATTTCCGATTCCCAGCCACCTCTTTCGACGACGACAAGGACTGTACGAAACGAGCGATCATATTGGGAATTTCGCACATGGCGGGAACCGAGCGACCAGTCTTCTAAGCGAAGTACATCTGCAACACGAGGGATGCAGTGGGCGGTACTCTTTTCACGTTACCGGATACCTCCCTACCTCTGATTCACGGCGCTTTGGGTCTGTAAATGGGCATGAAAGGAATCGATTCATGATGGTTAGACTAGGCAGTGATGAATGAAACCACTTGCTGGGTCGCAATGAACAACGAATGGTGTTTTGATTGTGTGATGCAAGCCGCTCGCAGTTATCATGTCGTGGGATTAATATCCAGAGCCGCTCTCGTGGCATTGTACTCCAGAACGCGTGAACCGAGAAAGCAACCCACTCGGATCCCAACAAGCATGATGTGGCCATTCGGATGGCGACGATACTGCAAAGTTCAAATGATTAGCATTATGTACTGCATTAGTCATGTAGACCAACGACACTTGTGACGCACTTGTGAACATAAAACTTTGCAGGCTTTCCGACCCCCAACCATTACTTCTACAACATCCCGAAACAAGTTGACCTTCTACATCTGGGTTGCTAATCCACAAGCTAAACTACCTCATGGACACCTGTATATACAGTTTACTCAAGAGCGCATCTGGCTTGGCTGGACTTGGCTGAAGCCAAGTACCGCCACATGAAGCCACGCCACGAGAACCAGACACCAGCTGCTTTCTATACCCATTACCGCCCACTTCTCACCTGAAACTTGGGACGATCCGCCAGATCCACGACCAAACAGGTCTCCTCGCTCTTTCCCGCCGTATTGTAGAGGCTGACTACGCCCTTATCGATACGCAAGACGGTACTGCTTCCCGCATAGCAAAGCCCCTTCTCCATTCCACATCGATTGGCCAGAATGACGCACACTGGCCTGCCGGCTTTATCCTCAACAAGGGGCTGGAATCTTTCAACCCAATATGCCACAGTCGCTACATCCGGTTGTGATGGGTCCGTTGCGAGTTCAGTCGGTGAGAGATGACACAGCCAAGCCATTGAGACGCAGATGATGGGCGACTGGAAAGACAATGCCTTTGAAGCGAATTCGTAGTCTGTCCACGGAGCAATGAACTTGTAAGGATTGATATCCATACATATGCCCAGTGTGACATTTCCCAGCTCTCCCAGCTCACCGGCGAAGAAAGGCGAGTCTGGGGATGCAGGATTGGAGAGGTTATGGGATTTTGAGCCTGGGCCCTCGGACGCCCATGTTTCGTCTGTGTAGTAGAGGAAGGACTTGCGGTAGTTGTTTATTACCTCTCCAGATGGCGACACGGTTACTATCGAGTTGTATTGCGTCTGCACATCCGCCGGGTTTCTAGAGGGTACTGTGATTTCCGGGTATCCGACCGTAACATGGCAGTTGTAGTGCTTTGCGGTCTGTTGGGCCCATTGGGTGGATATGCCTGCGGTTGTGGGCTCCAGGAAGGGCTTAATCTCCTCGAGCGAATGGAAGTTGTAGCCGGAGAAGGCAAGTTCCGGGAGGATAAGCCAGGCCAAGTCGGCAGGTATTTGGGTGGCTTTTAATATGCTGTCGGCGCGCTGGATATTGTCTTGCAATTTGCCTACCTCCGGGGCGAACTGAAGACACGCAACTTTCATATTTCCGGTTCCGTTGGTGTTGTTCTGCTTCGAGCGAGGTTTGGTAACGTGTTGCTGAGAGGTGAAGGGGCGGGATATGACAGCAGGTGGCGAGAGCGTCTTAGACACACCCTAAGCAGAGGGTGTTTGATTCACTAGCCGTCTAAAGCGATGTATTGGTCGGCCTAGGAAGGCCTTGGTCAATTGTTGAAGAACCAATCCGTGTACACAAAGGCAGCGGGTAGCAATTGTCCAGATACCGATGGCATGTACATGAGTAATACGCTCGCTTGCTTGGCAGTCTAGAGTGTCAGATGACCTAGACAGATGATACTGATAAGCGCATGCTCTGTTCCTTCCAAATAAGCTCAGCGAGGAGTGCAGTTCTGCTTGTGGGTTGTGGGAGAGGCCCTTGGTGAACACGAAGGGGGCCAGCTTGTCTCGCCCCACTAGGGTTGATCGACAAGGCACGCTCGTCGCTAACTCAGGCCAAAGCCAGCCAATCGCGCAATTTGCGCCCCGGGGAAACATCGCTTGTGGCAGCTATGACGCGCATAGCTAAAGTGCCGTCTACTACGAACCTATCCACAAACACTACCATTGCCATTACCATTGCCATTCACAGGCTGCCCGAGTGCATCAAAGCCATGCAGATTGCAAGCCGGTAGCCCATCTGCATCGGATCGAAATGGCAGGAAGACGGCTCGTCGACGCCGCCAAACTCTTCAATGCCTCGAGAGGCGTCGCCCAGCAGCACATTGCACTTCGATCGAACCAGTGGGATGCCTACACAAAGACATCGTCGCTAGCCAAAGCAGTCAAGAATCAGACCGACCGCGTTACTCTCACGGCAGCCGCTGCCATCGCCCTCTCTCAACGCTTCAGCGAAGAAGCACCGTCGTACGCAAAAGCCGCGGCCGATCGAGCGACAGGCGGACAATGGACACAGCAGACATGGAAGTCGCAGCCATCGCATTCTGAGGACATTCCGAGAAGGGAGACAGTCAACAAGCACCAGGCGCCAGCAGGAAGCGTTAAAGAGGGTGTGGAGCAGGACCATCACTACGATCGCTCCACACAGAACACAGTCAACACACCACCGCCTACAGAGGAATTGGAAGTGGAGCAACGGGAAGCACCCAGGTCACCGCTGCCCGATGGCACCATCCCAAGCAATGGATTGACCCTGGAGCAGGAGGATAAGGGAAAGGATGTTTTCTCGGAAAGACCGGTGCCTGAGACATCAAAGGATCCTTTAGCACAAGACCAGAGTGAGCAGGCCAAGAAAAGGGATAAGGATCTGAAGCCGGTGGAGTCTACAGATACTACTATACCATTGCCTGGAAAACCGAGGGGTGATTCTATACCAACCGACAAATTTCAAAAGACCGCCACGCCTGGACAAGTCGAGGACGATATACCAGAAGGCATAAATACGGATGTGTTTCATTCCAAGCGCGTCGCGAGGATGCTTGGAAGCGACCCTTTTTCGCGGAAAGAGTATGCAGAGCGGAAGAGCAACGGCAGACATCCACTTGATGATCGACCCATGGGTAGACATCCGCTTGATGATCGGCCTTTGACATCAGCACAGAGGCCAACTTCACCAGCGTCACAACCGAAACTGTCTCAGGCACCGCAGTCAGAGACCATCTCCAAAGAGATGGAACAGCTTGCGTCTCAACTTGCTCAAGATGCTCAGGCAAATGCAGCTGCATCCGAGGTATGTCAAACCTACTAATTGGCCTGAAGTATGCTGATTTACTGACAGTCGTACCGTAGTCAACCAGCGAGATAGCAGCAACTTCAGAAAAGACAGCATACACGCTACGAGAATCAAGAGTCCCGTCATCACGGTTTGGCCGCATATGGCAATATGCCGGTTTGGGCACTAGCATGGCTCTCGGAGCTGTGGGCGAAGGTCTTCGACGTGCAACTGGTAGTGCTGCATCGACCACCGGCTCCCTCATGTTAAGTGAACGAAACCTGGAGATTCTGGTAGCGAAATTGTCACGCATGCGAGGTGCTGCCCTTAAGCTTGGTCAGATGATCAGCTTCCAGGACATCAAGATGCTTCCACCTGCGATTCACGATGTACTGCAGAGAGTTCAAGATAGTGCCGACTATATGCCAGCCTCGCAAAGAAACAAGGTCTTGAGCAGCAACCTTGGCGATAACTGGCGGGACCTTTTTGAGTCATTTGAAGACGTTCCTATAGCGGCAGCTTCGATTGGCCAAGTGCATAAAGCAGTACTCAAGTCTACGGGGCAGACGGTGGCTGTCAAGGTGCAATACCCTGGCGTTGCCAACTCTATCGACTCGGACCTTAGCAACCTCTCCATTCTCCTAACAGCATCCCGTCTCCTACCCAAAGGACTCTATCTTGACAAGACCATTGCAAACGCACGCACAGAGCTAGGCTGGGAATGTGACTACACACGCGAAGCAGAATGCCAAACCCGCTTCCGTGAATTTCTCCAAGACGACACAGACGTCTTTACCGTTCCCAAAGTCTTCACTGAAGCCAGCGGTCCTACAGTCCTCACTGCCGAGTTCATGCAAGGCGTAGGCGTCACCAAACTCAAAACCCTCACCCAAGACCAGCGCGACTGGATCGGCACCCAGATCCTGCGTCTCTGCCTCCGCGAAATCGTAGAATTTAAATTCATGCAAACAGACCCCAATTGGACAAACTTCCTGTATAACCCCAAAGCAAACAAAATCGAACTTCTAGACTTTGGTGCAAGCAGAGATTATCCAGATGAATTTGTCGAACCTTACATTCAAGTCCTTATCGCTGCCTCCAAGGGTGATAGAGATGCAATCCGCGATTTCTCACTCCAATTGGGTTACCTAACCGGAGACGAGAGTCCCGCCATGCTCGATGCGCACATCCAGAGCGTACTTACCCTCGCTGAGCCATTTAGTACATCCGGTCCTGCGGTCTATGACTTTAGAGATCAAACCATTACGGATCGGGTGCGTGGTTTGATTCCCGTCATGGTGAAGGAGAGATTGGCGCCTCCACCCGAGGAGACGTATAGTCTGCATAGAAAGCTTAGTGGTGCGTTTTTGTTGTGTGCGAGGCTGGGTTCGCAGGTCCCATGTAAAGAGCTTTTTGAGAAGGCTGTGGGGACGTGGGAGGCGAGGAAGAAGGCTTGAAATGTGGTGTTGTGTAACAAAAAAAAGGTGATTTTGTACGTGTATAGATATTCATATATTTGTATCCCATGTATTCTGTACATCTCCCCCATAGCAGAAATAAACATTTTTGCAATACCCGCTACAACATCCTTGTCGTGAATTCATTTCCATCCCAAATCCAAGATCCAAATATCTCTCCAACCCCCCCCTCTTTTTACCTTCCCTTCCAATTCGACACTAAAGAGAGAGAAAAAAGTACACAAACCATGGCAATCCAAACTTTACCATTCCAAGCCCCCCCCCTCTCTCTCTCTCTCCTCGCTTACCCCGTTACACAAACCCTCCCGCCAACTTTCCCCTTCTCGGAATAAAACAAAGTTACGCTACCTGCACAAGTAAACCATAAGAAAGCAATCTTGGAAAGAGGAAAATAATTAGCGAGGAAGAAGAGGGATTTGTATGTGTGTGGGGGGGGCGTAGGGCGGTGTATGCGTTTTCGGTGAGAGGGGGGTGGTGTGGGTAGGCCATGTGGTTTAGTTGGGGGGTTATGTGGATGGGAAGGGAAAGGAAAGAAAAGAAGGTGTGTGTGTGGCTGAGTTAGTTGCTAGGGGGAGGGAAGAGGGTGTGTGTGGGTGTGAGCGACCGTTATTTTCTTGTTTGGGGGGCTTGATGAAAAAAAAAACAAGGAGAAACAGAGATATGGTATTTGTGTAAAAGTGAATTTTCGAGAAGGAAACAAAAAAGGGGGATTGGACTTTTCAGAGATAAAAAGAGAGGGATGATTAATCAGGTGTATATGATTTCTTTTTTTCTTTTGTAATGATGGATTTTATTTAGTTTAGAATTGTTTTGTATGACTACTTGGAAGAATCGACTCTGTGCGATTCTAAATATACAACTACACAACACTTTTAACGTTCTCAACTTTCCGTTTAACCACTCCCCGGGGAGAGCCAAAAAAAAGAAAAAAAGTTCATCGAGATCCCTCCCCATTCTGAGCATTGCTTTTACCATTCCATTCCATTTCTAGTAACTTACCAACTTCTTCTTCGCTTTTTCCTTGATTTCCTCTTCAGCCTTGCGATTGACCCAAAAATACGCAGCAAGGGAGATGAACGAGCCAAAGCCAGCTGCCATAATCATTCTACCGCGGAAGCCCTGTTTCCTCTTCAGCGCCTCGTCACCACCGAGAATAACAACAGCCTTTTTAGACCACGTGTATTCTAATCCACTATAGAGGGTGGTTGAAGCGACAATGGCAGATATGCCTTGGACAAGCGTCTTGACGCCTTGTTCGCCGCCCAAAACGTCCTGGATCGACATGAGCAAGCCACCCGCCGCGGAGGTGGTAGCGGAGGGGTCGTGCAGCAAGTTTGTGCAAAGCAAAGTGCCGAGCAAGCTTAGCTGGAGGAACGTGTTGAACTTGGAGACGGTGGTAGGGTGGACCTCCGCGCTCGGGAGGCTGAAGTCCCAGTAGCGTGCCATGGTTTTGGGCGCTGGGAGGCTGGCGTAGCGGTAGTAGAGGGCAGATATGGCGAGGCTGACGTCTCTTCCGAGGATGATGCAAGCTAGTGGCATGGGTAGACTTCCGTTTACGGCGAGACATGTTACCAGTGTTGTCATGAGGAATTTATCGGCCATGGGGTCGACTACGCTACCGACTACAGTCTGTAGGTTCCAGCGGCGGGCGATCCAGCCGTCAAGAAGGTCAGAAAAGGCGGCGTAGATGAAGAGAGAGAAGGCATAGAGATGCTGGTCGTGAATGATGAGGTAACCGACTGCAGGAGTTGCTATGAGGCGGGAGAAAGTAAGCATGTTGGGTAGATTGTAGATTTGTTCATGGCGAGGCTTGTCGAGTTTGAGCGTAGATTTGATGGTGGTGGCGAGTTTGGCGGATGCCGAAGTAGGTGGAACATGTTGCTACTTTTTGGTTAGTATTATCCCTCCATGGACTTGAAGTACTGTGTGCAGTTGAATGTAGGCTGAGATGGAATATTGATTGACTTGGACAGAATACAAAAATAAAATAAATAGGATGTGAGTGAAGTTTAAGCAACAAACAGTGATATAGAAAATAACCAAAGAAACTGCTGCTTCGAATTGAAGAAGATATTGCAAGCCAAAAAGTCCATGTTGACAGAATCATGTGATTCTCAGCCCTTGGAGTATCGTGACAACCGTCAGGGTGATGATGTCAGGACGCGCACAAACCTACCTCTGCATTATTTCGAGAAGCCGACGGTTCCTTTGCCTTGTCCTCGATACCCAGTCTCCGCGTTGTCGATGTGCTGAACAGTCCAATATGCCCCTGACCGCATTGCCCGTAGGCTGGGCCTCTCACCACTCTGCGGTGCTGGTATGTTTTTACGTCATTGCGAGTCCAGGTTCCAGAAGCACGTGAGGCAGCCAGGTACAAAGAGGGCCGACCATGTGCGGGCCGGAAAATATTTCCTAGTCCAATTGAGGTGCGTGGGAGAGCTGCAGGGATGTGGCAAGGTGATATGGCCCTCGCCGTAGATAGGGGGATCATGGATGCGGAAGCATTCGCGGGTTCGTGGTCGCTTCAAAGAGCTTCAGCACGAGGCTTCGTAGCTACTGTGGGAGCCATGCCAAGCTGCGCTAGTGGCCACATGCAGGAAGCTGTTGAACGGACTACATAATACTGCATGTACGTATGTACGTGCCTACCTTTTCGGAAGCATCTCCACACTGAGGTGTTTGATAGCGACATACATACTTATCGGAGTATATCAAAGCCATGCGTTGGCAATGATTACGACTCTTGGGACTTGTTCTGGAAATCGACCTAATGCTTGCGGCTTCTCCTTGGCCTTGCAGGTTGCTCAGCAGTAAAATGACAAGATTTCACATGGTGTATCCAGGCCGCCATCAAGATGAACTTAATTATATGCGCTAGACACAAGATTACATAGCCGGAGTTTGGACTCAAGGGAGCTGAACAGCCGCCGCCGTTGAAATGGTCCACGGTACAGCCTCGATTCGGCCTATCAGTGTCACGCCGGTCAACGTACTGAACCTAGTCATTTGGAATTCACATATAGGTGGTTCTTGCATGCATTCGTCGGCTTGCCACCGGTAGCAATCGTTGGCAGATTAGGGTTAAGTAAATCGTTGTATTGATGAACGGGGGGTTGCACCTAGTCGCACTACGGCCGCACTGCGGTCACCTTGATGCAGACGATAGCAGCCACAAATCCAAGGCCTTGTACACGGGGAAGAGCGTGTGCTCGATACGACGCCAGCCCACTTGCGCAGGGTCCAGACTGGGGGCGTGAGGGAATCACAACGACACAAGGGTCGATCAGGTGCGCAGGATCGGGATGGACCTGGACCCCTAGTAGTATGCGGATGTTCCCCAATTTCATAACCTGGGGACGGGTGGTTGTTGCTCCATTGCGGCGATGAGCAACCCATGTGTGCACAATTACCACTGCTGATGACAAATTTCGGAGGATTTCATGACAGTTTATTCACTGCAATTGCTCTCTTCAGTTCTTCTCGGATGTTCCTTCCGACAATGACCGTTTTCGCGGTCATGTTCGGCCGTTTGCCCGATTCTATAGCTGCGAGTGCCTGTCCTTATTGTTCCACGGTGGGGCGGCTCTTTCATTGCCCCTGAGTTGAGAGTATTGAAAGCTTGAATCGCTGTTCGAGGGACTCACCGGCGATATGCCCTATTCCTCGATTAAAGCCATCTGGCCGCAAGTGTCGCAAGAACCGGATCTACTGATCCTCGCAGGCTATACCAAGCAACGAAATGCACCACCGACTCACGTCCGAAAATCCACGGTGGTCCGTATTTGGAATGCCACATGATCGTGATCCGCGGAATGTGAAGACCGTGTTGACCAGTTCAAAGAGTGTCTCGACCAAGTAGCACCGGTGGTATTCAGAGACAGCAAGTCAGCCTCGTGGTCTACCATTGTTCCCGACCGAAGATGAAACGGATGCACCATTGCTTCTGGTCAGCTTGTAAGCTGAGTATTGTTCCCTAAGGCTGATGGAACACGATGCACTGGCACGATGCACTTTTTCGCAGGCCGCCTCTAGCTACGAGTAGTTGCAGTCGCTTAGCATTAGAATTAGGGTTTGGGTCGACCATGTGTCATGATTTCCGCATGAAGAAGGGACTAACGACGAGTTGGTGACTTGGCTTGGTTAGTCGACCATTGAGTCCACTAAGGAACTTTAAAAAGTCACCAGCATGATGTTGTCGGCATCGATGGCGCAATTGCAATGCGTTAGATCAAACTCAGCAGCTGGACGGACGTGGAAACGTTCCAGAAGGAGACGAGTTTTTTTTTACTGGAGCGGGCAATACTCGCGATCTGGACAGGCGAGCGTGGCTCGCTTGAGCAATGGCTATGCAAGACATGTAATGTTTCGACGTCGGCCGAAGCATCAACGCAAAAAGGAACGCCCCGGATTTCTCGAAGATGATCTTCAAGATCAGCCCGGGAGTGTACCCGTCGGGTAGTCTTGTGATGGCAGAGTGCAACAACGATTACGTTGCTTTGAGAGACCAGACCTCTTGTGCAAGTGGGTGATGGGGATGAAACTGGCGGCAGTCTGATACAGACCCTCAATATCTGATACACGGATAGCAGATCGACGACGAAAACGACGACCGAAGAGGGCGCAAACGACGCAGCATCGGCTACAGGGTCTCCGCTGGCAGGGCCGCATGTACTTGGGTGTGTATGAATAATGGCATTGCTCGTCACGCCTGCCGTAAACCGGTGGCGGGCAAAGATCAACGGCGATGGAAGGGGGGTGATGGATGGGCTGCAGTTTGTCGCATCTACCCGTATTCGTGTGAACTGGTCGGGGGGAGGTATGGGGTCGGCCACGTTCACGTTCACGTTCACGTTGACATGCAGCAAAGGCAGGGACAGAAAAGGGGAATTACGAATGCAGATTGTGGCTGGCAAACGGCTAGAGTTGCCAGCCCCGTGGGCTGCTTTGGGTTTGTGAACCCAGTCGCCCAACGATGGCGG